TTTGTTTTTTGGCTCAACACCTTTCATGCCCATTAAACAACTCATTTCCATAAGGATTTTTCTGAAAAACGTTGATTAAAGGTACAATAAATATAAATTTTCAGTTACCACGGACTCTTAAGCTAAGGAAATAACTAATCTTTGGCGGCCATTTTCTCACTTATTTTACCTCTGAAAACAGGTGACCCCCACCTCCTTCATTCGCAAATATCTCGATTTGTATTCAAGATAAATAGATATTCTTTTCATCCAAATAAGGGCAAATGAACACATTTAAGATGATACCAATAACTCTACACGCCTTCACTACAATACAAAAAATTGACGAGAGCCTGATTCCTCCACGCTGCCTCACATATAGAGAAGAGCTTCAAATGGCAGGCTGTGAAAGATCTCGGAACCACCAGAAAAGAATCAATGGTGATTGTTTGGCCACAGAAATATATCAAAGGGACTAGAGAAACTGCAGCTGTGTGGAACGACAGAAGGAAAAAAGAGCAGAGGAAGACAGAGAACAACATACACATATGGCCTGAAAATGCGGTATAATAAACAGTCTAATAATGTTAATGGCATAATAAATGATTAATGGTACAATAATGTTAACGTGTTAAGATATAATAAATAGCTGATGGTACAATCACGATAACAATGCTAACGGTTTAGTGAGTAGTTGATGATACAATAATGTTAACGGTGTAGTAAATAGTTAACGGTACAATAATGATAACAATGTTAACGGAGCAGAAAATAGTTAACGGTACAATAATGCTAACGGGGAAGTAAATAGTTAATGGTACTCTAATGTCAACGATCCTAACCTTATAGTAAAGAGTGAATGGTATAATCGTGTAAGCGGTATGATAAAAAGTTGATGCTGCAATGGTGTTAAAGGTACGATAAAGAGTTAATGGTATAATCATGTTAGCGGTATGATAAAGAGTTGATGGTATAATCATGTTAGCGGTATGATAAAGAGTTGATGGTATAATCATGTTGGCGGTATGATAAAGAGTCAATGGTATAATCATGTTAGCGGTATGATAAAGAGTTAATGGTATAATCATGTTAGCGGTATGATAAAGAGTTGATGGTACAATGGTGTTAACGGTTTAGTAAAGAGTCTATGGTTTTATCACGGTTTGAACTAATCGTTCTTTCTAAGGAAGAACAAGGTTACCCTAAGTACATTAATGTATTCCAGGCGTCATTAAACACTGCACTAACCCAGAATTACAATGTTCTATCTGCTCAGTACCTAGTTTGGAGATATTTAACGTCAATGATTTAAAAAAAAAATTCACAACATGTCAAGCTTTTCGAATACAATTCTTGAATATCCTGATAACGACTCCGAAAAATCTAACGATTTAGATAGAGCAGATAGAGAATTTGATTTCTGGGCTCATGGTCCTAATAACTCAAAACGGCCAAACCTGTCAGATATAATTTGTAATTCTGAGGTAGTCTTTGTTTTGTGTCACCATTTCTTTAAATGAAAAGTACGTATGTTGTAGAGTTTGACGGGGGATTTTGATAGGTCCTAGGCTTATTTACCTTCTTAAACATTCGATGGATTTAGAGAAATTAGATGTTATGGAAGATAATGAACAAGTGTTTAAGAACGTTACTGAGGATCAGATGGACAAACAGGGTCACCAACACGGATAACAAAACAGAGCCCAGTCTGAGATGGGATGGGAAGAAGGCAGTGGCAATGGATTGGACATACTCTCAGGAAGACAGGCTGCTGCTTAATTAAAAGAACGTGTTGGACTGGAATTCATAGGGTAAAGGATCAAGGAGAAGACTGCGTGGAACCGGGAGAAGAATCACCGAAATTGATGTTCACAAAAAAAGTGGGAAGACATCAAATAACAGCAAGAGGTTAGCTAGTCCAGGATAGAAAAAGGAGGAAATCGTTTGATCCTGGCCTTTTTATGCAGGGTGAGAAAGACAATGATGATGAAGACAATACACTGTTCGAACCCCCCCCCCCCCTCACCCCCAACCTTTTTGCCTCTGATGAAAACCCCGTATTCTGACACACATTCAAAGTTGAATGATGGCGAAGATTTGAGGAAGAGATTGAGTGCAATGTTCCTTATAACGAATCAAAGGGTTATTTCTTTATTTGAGGGAACATTTGATTTGAGCTTTAAAGAATAATAAAAAGAATGTTATTGGATACGCATAACTGAATATTTGCTTGAGCGTGAATATCTGTGAGTGTTTTTGTTTCCCTGTGCGTTGAGCCTATGAGTTAGAGAAGCAATAGGGAGAAGAGGTCTCGATGATGGAATGTGATTGTGTGAATTCATG